GTCACAGCCGCTGCTGATGCTGCTCATCCCACTGTTGCTGCAGCTGCTGTGGTTGGAGTTGATGCGTTTGCAGCAACTGCTGCTGCTTATCCCACTGTTGATGATGCTGCTCGTCCTATCGAGGCGTCGGTCACAGCAGTTGCTAATGCTGCTCATCCCACTGTCGCTGCAGCTGCTGCGGTTGGAGTTGATGCGGTTGCAGCGGCTGTTGGTGCTCCTGCTGGGTCCCGCAACTGGTGTGCCTGCTGTGCCCCAGTCTTCCCTCTGATAGTCCGGCGTTGTCAAGGCACCAGACCATCGGATGGTCTGGCGTCGTTGAGGCGCTGGACCATCGACGCATCATGTCGTCGCAGCTGCTGATGCTGATCGCCCCACTGTTGCTGCAGCTGCTGCGGTTGGACTTGATGCGGTTGCAGCAGCTGCTGGTGCTCCTGCTGGGTCCCACTGCTGGTGCAGCTGCTGTGCCCCGGTCTTCCTTCCGATGGTCCGGCTTCGTCAAGGCGCCAGACCATCCAATGCTCCCGTCGTGAGAGAGATTGCAGGCGGAGGTCACGAAAGGCCCTTTGATAGTCTGGCGCCAGACCTTCAGGTGCTCCGGCGTCGTCAAGGCGCCAGACCATCGGATGGTCCGGCGTCGTCGAGGCTGTTGTCGCTGCTGTTCTCGCTGTTGCTGTCACATCTGAATAAGGGTTCGAGTGCATGGCACAACTGCTGTGCCTCAGTCTTCCCTCCGATGGTCCGGCGTCGTCAAGGCGCCAGACCATCCGTTGGTCACAGCAGCTGCTGATGCTGCTCATCCCACTGTTGTTGCAGCTGCTGCGGTCGGAGTTGCTGTGGTCGCAGCAGCTGCTGGTGCTCATCCCACTGTTGTTGATGCTGCTCATCCTAACGAGGCATCGGCCACAGCAGCTGCTGATGCTGCTCATCCCATTGTTGCTGCAGCTGCTGCAGCTGGAGTTGATGCGTTTGCAGCAGCTGCTGGTGCTCCTGCTGGGTCCCGCTGCTGGTGCGGCTATTGTGCCCCAGTCTTCCTATCGAGGCGGTCGGAGTTGCTGCGTTGCAGTTGCTGGTGCTACTGCTGCTCATCCCATTGTTGCTGATGCTGCTCATCCCACTGTTGCTGCAGTTGCTGGTGCTACTGCAGCTGCTGGTCGGATGAGCTGCAGTTGCTGGTGCTACTGCTGCTCATCCCACTGTTGCTGCAGCTGCTGGTGCTCCTGCTGGGTCCCGCTGCCGGTGCAGCTGCTGTGCCCCGGTCTCCCCTCCGATGGTCCGGCGTCGTCGAGGCGCCAGACCATCGGATGGTCCAGCGTCGTTGAGGCGCCGGACCATCGAGGCGTCGGTCACAGCAGCTGCTGCTGCTGCTCATCCCAGTGTGGCTGCAACTGCTGCGGTCGGACTTGCTGCGGCTGCATCAACTGTTGATGCTGCTCATCCCATTGTTGCTGCAGCTGCTGCGGTCGGAGTTGCTGCGGTTGCAGCAGCTGCTGGTGCTCATCCCACTGTTGTTGACGCTGCTCATCCTATCGAGGCCTCGGTCGCAGTTGATGCTGATGCGGCCCATCTCACTGTTGCTGCAGCTGCTGCGGTTGGACTTGATGTGGTTGCAGCAGGTGCTCGTGATCCTGCTGGGTCCCACTGCTGGTGCAGCTGCTGTGCCCCAGTCTTCCCTCCGATGGTCCGACGTCGTTAGGGCGCCAGACCATCGTGTGATCTGGCGTCGTCGAGGCGCCGGACCATCGAGGCGTCGGTCACAGCAGCTGCTGGTGCTGCTCAGCCCACTGTTGTTGTGGCGTCTAAGTGGGGGTTGGAGTAGATGCTGTGGTTGGATTTGCTGCGGTTGCAGCAGCTGCTGGTGCTCCTGCTGGGTCCCTCTACTGGTGCATCTGATGTGCCCCTGCCTTTCCTCCGATGGTCCGGCGTCGTCAAGGCGCCACACCATCGGATGTTCCCGCACTGCTGACTATCGTCGGCTTGCTGTTGTCACCGGCTCTGGACGCCTTCCACCACCCCTTCTTCTTAACCTTTGTTTGTTCCGTGCGTTACGTCGGTGTCGGATGCGGTGTTATGCAGCTGCGTGCTCCTCGGGGGTCTCTACGCCGAAGGTTGTCGGAAGGGCGGTCACGTTCCAAGAGAAGTACTGGGCAATCGATTGGCACCTCGGTATGAAAGTCCCTTGTTGCGGGCCAGTTGTTTTTTTGCGGGATCAGAGCGGCGGTTACTACCCATGCGGGGGCATCAAGACTTACTCGTTTGATAAGAACATGCCTGACGAGGAGTACATGAGATTCCATCTCACGACGTGTTTTGACATCGACGGCCACGAGGTGCCTGACAATTACAAGCTCGTGTCTCTCCACGTCGAGAAGTTCCAACGTTACGGCATCCGCGCTGCATCAATGTCTCCGTTCGACAAGTCGAAGAAGAAGGATGCGTCGCAGATGGTGATGCTAAGGCCGTTCGAGTTTCTCAAACGCGTTAATTGCTATAAGGTGTCGAACTATATCGTGACGATTGACAACAACCTGCAGTTGTCAAATCCCTTCGTGCCCTTCGACTGTGATCTTGGAGACTTCGCAGACATGGTGCGACGTCACAAGCTGCAGGCGATGGGCCAAGCCATTTTGCGAACTACCGTCTCTGTGAGCTCGCCAAAGGCGGTGGGCAAGAGTTGTGGGGAGCCGAAAACATCCGCCTGTATGAGCAAAAGTGCGGCCGCATCGACACAGGCAAAGAGCGTGCGCAAATCAGCTTCTCTGCTCCAGCCGAAGGGTGTGTCTGCGCCRCAGGCACCATCACATGCAGAATATGCGGCATGCGTTTCTTTGACTCCGCCTGGTGGGGCCACTAACCATGAGGATGACGACGAAAACGTAGAGGAGGACTCGCGCTTCTTCAACTCAGACGGTGGGCGGTGGCCCGATGGCAATGATGCGAAAGACACGGAAGGGGACAAGACGAACAATGGTTCCGCGACGGTGCACACGATGAAGAGGGAAGCTTGGAAAATGGCTTCGCCGAAGGCGATGGTAGTGAAGGCCAAGAGGATCATGGTGATGAAGGCGATGGGAGTGAAGAAGAAGAAAATGAGGATGCAAGTGACGAGGACGCCGCAGAACGGGAAGACAGCTACAAAGGGGGGAGCGAAGGAGATGAGGGTGGGGCGGACGACGACGGCGACGGGAATAGAGGGTCGCAAAAAAGGCGGGAATAGTCTTTCCGTGCCACAAGTCATGACGGTCCGGCAGAAGATGACGATGTGTTGCATAGCACACAGAGGTCTGTGTGCATGCGCAAGAGGAAAATGAGATGTGGGAGAGCAGAGGAAGAGAAGCGGAGACAAGCTAAGCTCATCAGCCTACAGGCCTCGAAGGAGGCTTACAAGAGATTTTTAGAGGCCCAATCCGCTAAACCAGCAAAGGAAAAGCGTGAACGAACTCCATCTTTCCAAAGACCGAAGAAAAAAGCAAAGGTTGAGGAGACAAAGGAAGTGGCGGACTCTGGGGACGAAGCGGCAGGGGTCGACCCGAGACATACAGCGTCAAAGCCTGGAGAGTTGACCAACGATATTATCGACACCACGAGATGTTTTCTCCTGTAATACGACGAGGACAGCAATGCGATAGATCGGCCTACCCAAGTGTTCGTTGATGTGGTCAAAATACTGCCCAACCCTTCGAAAGGCGTGCAATACAACCACAGGCCGTTGAACGAGATGTTGGTCACCTCCATCAGGGACGCAATGAAACACCCGGAAAAGCAGAAGGAGTGGGACAGAAACACGTGGATTCTTGCTCCTGTCGTTGAAGTGCAGAAGGATGGCCGGAAGCAGTGGGAACGTGTGAAGCCGGAGGAGTGGGATGATGACAAGGTGGCCTCCTACCATTGGTACGCAGTGGCCGGCCAACATACAGCGAAGGCAGCAAAGAGGCTGGTCGCTGCGAAATCGTCTGCTGCCCACAAGTGGGGCGTGCATTCTTGGAAGGCGCGGGTTGTATATTTTGACGATGACCATTTGGAGGGGTATGCGTACATCTCCACGTTTAACAACACCAGGGAGACACGTGTTATCCCGTCGTCGTTTCGAATGGCTGTGACTGCTATAAGAGGCATGTGGCAGAGTATGAAAGAGTCAAAAGGTGATTGGCATCAGGCAAAGACGGTGGAAGAACGAACTGCATAGTGTGACCAATATCAGGAGTTCGTACGGAGAGCTATACGGATGACTCCTGACACATCGCTCTGGAACCAGTCGTTGGCGAAAAGATTTGTGAGGAATTGGTCAAATTTGTTGAGGCCCTACATGTGTCTTGCGGCAAGCGGCAGAGTTGTGTGGAATCTGATTGAGAAGTTCTTTGACAAATGGGAAAAAGGCGAACTGCCAGGGCAGGACGGCGTGAGACCAGTGGCTGTCTCTTATACACATCTAGATGTGTATAAGAGACAGTGGGAAAAAGGCGAACTGCCAGGGCAGAACGGCCAGTGGATCAGGAAGGGAAAGCAGGCGAGGCAGCAGGACCGGGCCCTGCAGCGAAGACGGTGAAAGGCAAAAAAGTGTTGGTGCACTATGTCCAGTCCAGCAAAAGTTCGCCGGGTTTCTATGTTGCATCAATGAACCCCCCGCGAGTGCATGGAAGGTGTTCGACGATTTCACATCAAGGGAGAAGGAAATGGCCCTCGAGAAAATACTTGCGGGACACGTTGTTGTCAGGAGCGGAAGGGCATTTCTGAAAAAACTGATGAACATGCAAGACCTGTACGTGGAGGTGAGAAGGGAGAGATATATGGTTCGCATGTTTAACTATATCCTCTTCAAGATAGAGCAAAGGTCGGAGGAGGAGTGGAATGACAAGTTCTTCATTGGCTACGATACCATAATAAGGCGGTTTGCACCGCGAGGGTTGACCACGGAGAAATAGGAAGAAACCAAGTACAAGATCGTAGCAGAGAAGACTGTCAATGTCCCAAAACGATTGGGCGGCGTGGATGAGGCGAAACTTGGAAAAGGGAATGTCGGGGGGCACAAGGTGACGACTGCAATATATATGGAGTGTCCGTACTTCCTCAAGCTTTTCGTGCATGAGATTCTTGGCGCAGTTGACCAGTTGAGGGATGAGCTGAGGCGGATCAGCTAAAATGCTCAGCACATAATGTGGGACAAGCGCAAAGATCACACGACATATCTTCCTGTCTGCATCACACCTATGGACGCACTGCACCCAGCAGAAGATTTGACTCGTGCCGTGAGAAAGCTGAGCTGCCACCTTGCAGTATTGGACTTGGCTCCGTTAAAGAATCTCAACGCATGGAACGAGCAAAGGTTTCACGAGCTCCGCCAAACGATGACGGTGTTGTGCGGGTCGCATTGGGTGCTAATCATATTCAGCGCATTGAAAGTCGAGGAAACGCTGTTGAGGAACGTCTTCACGTGGGACGGTGTGAGAGTTCTTCTAGGGCGCTGGCGTTGTTATAGTGAAGCAGCATCATCATGCGCCCAAGTTGGGAACGGTACCTCCCATTGAGAGGGCGTGACTCCATGACCACAGTGCTGCACGATACAAAGAACGACTTCAAAAAGGTCACAGTCGCAAAGCCTCGCGTGAACACTCTCTTCGACACGCATTACGTGGAGGAGTTATTTGTACGATGTACAAAAGAGGCAATCGGTGTGCGAGGCGATAGCAAACCTGTGTACGGGATATGGGAGAGGGAACCTGCAAAGATGAAAGACTTCTGCACTTGTTTTTCGAAGGAAGGGGAAGGTGTCCTGTTACTGGACAACGTGCAGGCAGGAACAACGTGGGACTTGCTTCGCTCAGGACGCCATGTCGTCGCATGCGATGGTTCCTCAAACCTGATGGAGTACTCCAGTTTGTTCATCGATCGTCACGTCAACAGTCCGGATAACAGGTGTCACTTTGAACGACCGAAACCTCAACATCGTGCAGACCGAGACATGTTCCTGAAGCTCAGCAAGAAGAGAGACTCGCTGTGGAGCTATCTGTTCTGCAATGCACCCGCAACACCAACAGATGCAGATTATCTGCACCGTAAGGTGATAGCGATCCAGCATATGCAAGGATATCACAACGCCAAACGAGGTGCAATTGAGATATTGTTGGGGCGATGTGAATACCTATGGTTTGAAAGGAAGCGAGACAAAATTGATGCCAAGGTTTACTGCGAGGTAATGGATGTTGGGGAGCAGTTCGACATTATGGACAGCGAGGAGGAAACGGAGGATGAGGACATTGACCTGCCATTGTCGGTGCGCATCACGATGCAGTGAGAGAGGAAACGCCTTCGTTGTCCGCTTTGGGTGGTCAACAAGCAATGAAGGAAGATGTTGGCGGTAATATCGCTCGTACGAGGACCGAAAATGTGATGCGCGGAACAACGCCGAACACAGGTGCTGAAATGGAAGGCAGCACATCCAAGTGCGGCATGAGGGAAGCAACCCCAGGATTCGTTTCGCTGGTGAGGAGAGTTCGCAATGACATAGAAGGAGCAGCGGACGACCAGACTCAAAAGGTTGAGCATGCAGACAAGGAATCAGAGCACGGCCCAGATGGGATGGACATAGAGGATGATCCCCTCTTTCACATCCCGGACGATGCCCCCAAACAACTTGCACCGGGTGATAACATATCATATGACATGAAGGAGATGAAAGGAGGACCTCACTTTCTAGACATAAAGTACAAAGAGTCACATGAACACGAGTGGGGCCATCAGATCGTATGGCATCCAGGTCTTTTCGAGCCTTGTGTGATTAATGGCAGATGGCACATCCGAATGGGTGGGACATGGGTATTCAGGGAAAGAGTCCTCAGGAGCAGGTTTTATGAAATCGCGAAGGACAACTTGTCTACCCGCGTGAAGCAGGCGAACAAAGATGTGTCAGACTACAAAATCTCAGAGAAAGTGAACTCATTGTTCGAATTCTTGCGTGAAAATCACCTTCTCGAGTATTGCGTTGCGTTCTACGACAAGAAATCGAGTCCGTCGTATGGAGCTGTCATATGGTTTGTGGACTACCGTGCAACAGACTGTATGTTCGACACTGACATACTTCTGGGATGCAGTCAAGGCCTTGAGGGACACACGGGTGCAAGGAAGAAGATCGGTTCAGCAGCAGCAGGAGGTGGTGGCGAGAGTGTGGCAAACAAGGAAGGGCATACCAGGATGCAAAACACAAATGGATATGAGTTCGCAGAGCGGCCATCGAGCACACCGCAACCAACACTTAGACCGCCAGAAGGCATCAGTGCAGTAGGAGCCAGAAGTGAGACAATAGCAACAGCAAGCGGGGCAGTTGTTTCACATGTGCATGGCGAAGACGGGAAGGACGAAAAGATTGAAGAGGACCAGGGACAAAAAACATCAGACGAAGAAGGGTCAAAATTTCAGGCACATGAGGGAGTGAAGGCGGTGGCATGGAATGTCGATTCCCATTCCAAGCAGTCGCATACGACTGTCATCAATACACAGGCGCAAGGCACCGACGAAGCCACCAGAGAGCAAAGTGCGCATGAGAAAGAAAGGGGGAAAGGACCAGTGCATATGGAATGCACTGGTCCAGGAACACAAATGGTTTCGGAGTCAACAATGGCAGAAATGAGAGCTGATTTGGAGGGTGTCAGTGCGGCACAGCACGAAAGGTTCCAAGCACGGCAAACAGAGAAAGGGGGGAGGAAAATGAGAAAGAAGAGGAGGGGAACATGAGTCAGAGTGCGATCAACTTGGTGGACCAGTCTAGTGAGAACGAAGAAACATCTGACAAGGAAGAAGCGAAAGAGTCGGAAGAGGAGTTTCAAGAAAGAGAGCGTGATGTGAGCGAAGCGTTTGAAAGAATATGCAGTAGAAAAAGAAAAGCAGGCAAGGAAAAAAAGGAATGCACAATGCGACGTTAAAAAATGGGCAAGGAGAAGGAAGCACATTGCAACGTGCAGTGCATGAGTGTACATGGGTGTCTGCTTGCATTCACAGTCGACGGTAGATGTGTGTGTGTGTGTGTGTGTGTGTGTGTGTGTGTGTGTGTGTGATGTGTATGTGTATGTGCGTGTGTGTGTTACATCACCGGTGAGGATGGGATTTTAGAGTATGAAACGATGAGTGAGAGACATGATTTATATGTCGCTTGTGTCGGTCAAGTACATAGTACATTTTGAGTACGCTTCGAGTTTTTGACATGTAAATGGAAGCGTGGAATGCACAAGTTATATATACATTGTGTCGATCGAGAAAAAACAGCAGTTTGTCTATCAGATTATGCTATTTCTGTATGGAGAGCGCTCGACGAGTTCAAGAATTTCACATTGTTGCTACCTTCGGTGTATGTAAAGATGAAGTTCTCTCTCTCTCTCTCTCTCTCTCTCTCTCTCTCTCTCTCTCTCTCTCTCTCTCTCTCTCTCCCTTTTTCTCTCTCTCCCCCAACACACATACATACACACACACACACACAAACAAACACACACACACACACGCACGCACGCACTCACGCACACACACACACACACACACACACACGCATGCACGCACGCACGCACACGAACACATAATTGATAATGCAATGACTTCACATGTTAACAACAAGCAATCCCATTGTGGTGTGAACCAGGGACATTGCTACACGTCCAAGGCGAACGCCGATGTAAATACCGGTGGACTATTCAATCAGCAACAGATGCTATCACCGAGTCGGAAGAAGATGCATTGCGGCAATGGAAAAATAAGTTAAACAATTACAAAACACTGTCAAGCACAAAGAATCCAGCAACGCAAGAGGAGTTAAGATTCACGGTCCACGATATGAGTATCCTCATGAGTGGCACACGATGGCTAAACGATGACATTATAAACTTCTACAACAATATGATAAAGGTTGACAACATGTTTCGGACTTCCTATCGAGAGTGCGATACACGATCTAACATGTCCGCGAAGTACGCAAAGGGTTTGATTCTGCGAACAACTATATGTAACTTTTTTTTTTTCGTCAAGCTCATGGATGACAACTTCAGATATCACTATGACAAAGTAGCTAAATGGTTCAGAGACGTGTTGATCGCAGATACTGACTTGATTTTAGCCTTATGCCATAATATTCATGAAAAGCATTGGACACTTGTTGCAGTAGACCTTCGACGGAAAGTTATAGAGTACTACGATTCGATGGAACCAAACTCTGACGTTGCAAAAAAGGTAGTCAATAACTTCGCGAGGTTCGTGTACGATCGATCAACACAACAAGGAAAGCAAGTCAACACTAGACATTTCAAGAAGGTATTAGAGGTGGTTGGTATCCCGAAACAGAAAAACATTCATCAGTGTGGAGTATTTGTGCTAACATATGCATCTCTTTTGGCAAGAGGTCGGTTGTCACCATTCGAATTCGATATGCACGATATCCAACGCATTAAACGTTGGATCGTACTAGACTCAGTAGCAACGCGAGAGGATGTGTAGCATGCAACAAATTTTTACAGAGGAGATTGATGAGGTTGAAAGGTGACAGTCGTTGAATTGTTCGGTTGCAAGTCACTTATGACAGTTTGGAAATGTGCAATGTTATCTACAATATGGAATGCTTTGACCGACAGATCGCAAATACAGCGACACAAGTGAAGGTCTACATATGTATGGTCTATGTGAGGTCTGGATATGTATGGTCTATGTAGAGAGCAGAATGCAAAAAGGATGGAAGCCAAGAATGTATCATATACCATAAGCATATGTATGGTGTACGTGGTATGATGTGCATATGCATGGTGTATGCGGTGTGATGTACCCCTAATGGTATATTGTACATAATAGTTCACCTACAATATGGTGCACGTGGTACCATACGCCTACATAATAGTTCGCCTACCTTATGGTGCACGTGGTACCATACACCATACAGCCTACCATGGTCTACATGTAAAGCTAAAAGTCACAATTTCTATCGAAAATTCTGTACATTTTTCACTTAATTCAATTTCACGATTTTAGAAAAAAATGTCAGTTTTACCGAAATGTCAGTTCTAAACTTATGATGTACTGGGAGTGTCTTACGTTTTCTGAACGTACTCTCAAAATGAGAATTTATATCACGTGTCATTATAGTCTTACAACAAATAAAAATGTAAAACATGTGTTGTGTTATATCACAGGTTATTGAAGTCCTATCACAGGTCATTCTAGTCCTAAAACCCTGCGACGAAAATATCTTACAGAAACGAGATCCGGAACCCTAAGCTCATGTAGCTCGCTGAGAATTTATATCACATGTTGTGTCATGAACCTAAAATAATGCAGTTTTCAGATGAGAAGTTCAGTCGCAGGACATTATAGTCCTATAATGAGTTATTCTCAATCCTTCGGAAGATGCTAAGAACCACTGTTCTTAAAATCACTCGTTGTCTTCGACTTTTTTACATGTTGCAGAAACCTTCGAAAAAACATTGTTGAAGCACCGCCAGATGCAAGGGGAGGAGAGACAAAAGCTTAGCAAGCATCGTCACAAGGCTTCGAACAGACCTTCCGAATATGTAGCGATTATCATCGATGGAATGAATCAGAGCAAGAGAATATTGCCTCACTTTAGTAGATGCCCTAAAGACTGAAGACTAAAGGAAGGAAACTTTGTGAAGGTTCATGTCGTCGGTGAAGATTTTAGGTATCACGCCGAGCGAGCATGCAACGTTATTCTCCGACAATTTCAAGTCGGACTCCAATTGCATGTTGACCGTCCTTCACCGTCGAGACACTCATCTTCCCAGACCCCTTTGAAGAGTTCTTTATTTCACGTTGGACAACACTTCGAAAGAAAACAAAAGTAAGTTTGTGTTAGCATATCTCATCTTCCTTGTGAAGATGAACGTTTTCAGTAAGGTCAAGTTGAATTTTCTACTCGTAGGTCACACCCACGAGGATGTAGACCAGATGTTCTGTTGTTTCTCTAGAAAATTAGCCACACAGAATGCATTCGATCTTCCTGAGCTACAACATATCATTAGAGAATCGTACAGAATTGAACGAGAGCACAACATTCTTGTTGAAGAAATGACAGAGACGATAGACTGACAGTTTCACGTAAAGGAGCATTTGCACAACGTCAACGATATTAGTTTCAATCAACACTTCCACATCAAACGCAATGATGCAGGAGAAGTCGATGTCTGGAGCAAACAATATCACAACTCGACATGGCAGCCCAATAATAAAGAAGGTCTGAACATCTTTGTGGTTGGCAGATTTATCGCACTACGAGCAGCACCCGAACAGGAAGAGAGAGGTAAACCCTACCACATCGGCAAGGTTATCGAGTTGCTGTCACGACGAAGCTTCAAGGTTGCCTGGTTTGTTCAACGTGAGAAAGGAGAATGGTATTATCCTTATTACAAAAAGAAGTTCACCAAGGAACATTTTAAGGACATCTTTGATTGGAGCTGCGGTATTCTTTGTTACAACTTTGAGCTGAAGACGGACAAAACTTTCTTTTCTTCGACTAGAAAGAAAATTTATGAAATGTTAGAATCAACAAATGTCGACGATGACGAAGGCGAAGACATGATGAGATCTCCGTGAAATGACTGTTTGACTGTTGTCACATTTTCTGTTTCCAAAATTCATTGTCTTACGACTAAATATTTATCGTTCACATTAATGTATACTTAGGAAATCCTCAAAATCTCATATAGGACTATAAGATCTTCGTTACATTTCTTTTGTACCAAGATGCTTCTGTGCAGGGAAATCGATCCACGTCATTTAAACGGTTTTGGGCGACCATTGCTGTAATCTGAATGTCATGCGTTATAGGACTATAAATCGTTTGTAACATTTCATGTGGTGGCGGGAGTTTGTCCTAGTATTAAATATTTATCGCTTACATTCTTGTTTTCTTTAGGAAATTATCCACATGTGTTATAGAACTATAACATCCTCGTTACATTTCTTGTTTTTCACAGAACTTCTTTGCAGGAGAGGTCGATCCACCTCATTTATTCGGTTTTTGACGACCGATGTTGTAATCCAATTGTCATGCGTTAAAGGACTTTATATCATTTGCCACATTTGCTGTTTTCATCGGAGTCTCTCCTCGGATTAAATATTTGTCGCTTATATTTTTGTTTTACTTTGAAAATCCTCAAAGTCAAAGTAACAGGATCCTGTTATTTCACAATGTTTCGAGTGTCTCATGTAGGACTATAAGTTTTTCGCTACAGTTCATGTTTACTAGAGCACTGCTGTGCAGGAGAAGTCGATCCACCTCATTTCTTTAGTTTTTGGCGTGTCATCTTATTGTCATGCGTTATAGGACTATATGTTCGTTTGTCGCATTTTTCTGTTAGGTGAAAAATCTTTCAAGTTTACACATTCTGCTTTTCAAATCAAAACGTACATGTTATTTTCAATATGTTGGTACTTTGTCATATAGGACTATAAGTCCTTTGTGACATTCCTGGTTAATCGTAGAGTTGTCGCGCATGAAAAACCGATACGCCAGATTTCTTTCGTTTTTTGTTGCTTTTCTCATTCTTTTTTCCATGGCTACATGGATTTCGGTTTTTCTTTTCAAATTATCGTTTTTTTTTGTTATTTTTGGATATCCTTATCTAACTAGAATCGATTTTTTCCAAAATCGTGTGAAATTGTGATTTTGCTTTCATCAACTCGCCCGGCTAACCACTTTTGTTTGGGAAATATTTTTGCGCTCTATTTAGGGACAATTATGATGTGTTTTCGCACTGACTCCGGACAAGTTTACTAAACAAATTGTACTTTTTATGGTCCGAAACGTTCTGTTGATTTTCGTTCGCTTTGTCTATACGTTTTGTTGGGTTTTCATAATTTATTGGATTTTCAC